CCGGTGGGGCCATGTCAGGTAGGCTGAGCAGCAAAGCTCCTTCTGCTGGGAAAAAGTCCCAAAGGGAGTGCCTGGGGCAGACACAGCCATTACTCAGGGCGGAACAGGACTGCATTTTTAAAATGATTGGCTTTAAGTCGATTCATAGGATCCAGGAGTCAGTGGGTGATTGGTTTTATATTTGTGGGAATTTGTAGAGCATTTAGAGGCCCCTTACATAAGCATAAATCACCATCTCAGATTATATAAATTCATAGTTTAGTTTTGAGTAGTTCCCTTGTCTTCTTTTCTTACAAGCTCTCTTCCAGTCTCCCAAGAAGTACAGAAGGCTGGGCTTAGAATTTAGAGTGTTTGGGGATCTTGAAGCTCTTTATCCCTTTTCTCTACCCTGTGAATTATTCCCTTCACCTTTGAGCATGTTTTCAGAGGGACTAGTTCAGTTCTCCATGCTTTACCGAGCCACACTACAGGGAGGACAGTTAGCACGGGAAGAACGTCACCTGGTTCTGAGGCGACTTCTGGTGTCGTCTTCCACTACAGGTGCTCCGAGTCCCTTAGCTGTCCTGCTGGCTGTTGCTAGGTCTTCTAGGGACAGGATCCTCACAGAAAGGAGCAGGTAGTGCATCTTTCATCCTCTACAGTTTCTTTTGGTGATGGTGACAGGGTGACTTTCTTTCTTATGTGAAAGCACCCTATATTTTTCCACTTGTCCTTATTTCATAACCCTCTCCTGTTGGAGTTAATAATTCCTGGTCATAACTTTAGTGTAAATTTTCCTGTATAATCCGTGAGCTGTCATTCATCTTTCTTGTTCATGGCTAGGATAGAAATCAAGGTGTAGGGCCGGAGTTCAGTGCTATTTCTGGTAATCATCAAGGGATTATGAGAAAGTGCTCCCATCAAGAAATCAAACAATCAATGTGACATGCAAAGATTGTCCCCCCATATTTGCCTGAAACTTTCAGGTTATTCATAAGAAAGAAAGGTAGTTACCTCGAGGCAAACCTAGCAAGAACTCACCGCCAAGTGTATCCATCTTTAAACTTGGAAGTTTTGCTTCAAGCTTTACCCCTCTGCGTGCTAAGTCCATCTGAGCTGCCTTTTTACCTCATTGAATTTGAAAAAATCTCAGAGTAGGAGAAGAGTTATGTGAGCCCATCCTCATGGGGGTGTAACCTGTACTAATCACCTAGAAAACCACTGAGCAATAAACCACATCCTCCTCCACAAACTTTTCCTTGGGATCCATTGAACAATAAAAGGACTCTAGAGCTTTTAAAATTTTCTTTTGAATTTTTCTGGACTATCTCATTTCCACAATATTCCAAAGACTAGTTTATTAAAAAAAAAGATTATAAACAACTTGAATAGCACTCTTGAAATCAAAACTTTCTTCTTGACATTTAGCAGATTTTTGGAACAGTACTAAGAGGACCCCTGAGAAGCTGCCTTCAAAGCCGATGGGGTGTCCTGAGCACCAGAGAAATCTGCCCAGGACTGCAGCAGGACTAGAGCCAAAGCAAAAACATGTTTATCAGAACCTTCAAATGTATTTTTTGAAATAGCTTTGGCTGCAGTTTGTTAGATGTTACAGACTTCAAAACATTTAAGGATCCCAAACTCAATCATTTATAATCTAATTTGATTTCTAGAACATTCATTTTTCAGTAGAGAAATTGAGAACATGTATGTTAAAGGGTGACGAATTGGGCAGTTATTGCTGGTCCTGATCATCCCTGTGCAAATGTGGAGGAGATTAGTTTAAAAAAAGAAGGCGAAGATTTATATACACCTTGTTTTTAACAAATTCTGTCATGTTGAAATTATTTAATCTTCCTTGCATACAATTTATGGGTCGGGGAGTGAATTTGTTAATATAGAACATATTTCCTGACTTTATTACAGGGCTATATATTTTCTTGTCTGCATATTACAGACCACCTTAGTCATTTTTATGTACTTTTTTGAGAAAAATCTTCAGCAAGCATTAATGAGTAACTCCATGTTATATTTTTGTTCTCAAGATTGTATGCATTTTCTTATCGGTCTAATGCCTATATGGTTAATGTCTACAAAGTACTGAAACATAAATTTTATAATCTCTTGGACAATTGAGTGCTTTATCGTCTGATATACCAGGATTAAACTCCAGGTATTATCTTCTCCAGTCAAAAGCCCTCTTGCTATGTTGTGATGCTGGCACAAAGCAAGAGTATTGATCTTTCCTGACAAGTGTAGATGTTGCCTCAGATACTAATGGTTGTGCACATAATCCATCCCTACAAGTGTTGCCTCTTCTCCATGTGAAACAATGCATTTCCAGAGGGCTATTATTCAGGTGCAGTTGAGTTTTTAAAACTGTTCCAATTTATTATATTATAATGATCCCTGGCAGGCTACCTAGTGTTGCTAATCAGGAGCAGAAATTTGTGTTTGCATCTTTAATGCACAGAATGTTGAGTCATTGATTCTCCATATTTTAGTTAGGAGGAAGCCATATAATCTGGAGGAGAAAAGATCAAATGGTATTTAAAGTTAATTGGATATTCCTGTATTACCATGCTGTTAAATTAACCTAGGACACTGATTTCAGGGTAGGAGTGGTGACACAAAGCACAGCACAAGTTGGTGAGGAACGTGGGACACAATGTTTGCCGGGTTGGGCTGAGAGGGACACCATGTAGCATCTGTGGACAAATGGAGTAAGTTGTTTTTGGCTTAATGTTTTGGAACATCCTGACTTCATAGAGGCTGATGAAGAGATGTCCAGGCAGGACTCACTGTGTGGCATCTTGAGGACGTAGACAAGCATGTATGTGAATGGTGGGATTTAGGAGACAGTTCATCTGCAACCAGGGTGCCCTTACCGCTTGAGTAGGATGGTGATGGGTGACTTCTGAGCTCCAGCAACACCGCACAGCAGTCTGCAGCAGCAGCCCAGGGTGTAATAAGCAAATAATGCAAATGACCGCAAACCAGATAAACTGCACCATTGCCCATGATTAGGAAAGGATTCAGCTCATTTTGCAGAAAGCACTGTAGATTAAATCCCAACTCAGTAAAGTTTGCAAATGACTCTACAGATGAGAGATGCCATTCACTAGTGAATGTGAACCTCAATTGCTGGAGCATTTAAAAACCCCACAGCTGTGCTGGCGCCCAGAAGTGGGTGCCTGGATGCGTTTCAAGTTAAATGGAATCAGCAGAGTATTCATCTTCACCAAGAGCAAAGGGTGGTACATCATACAGTGATCTTCATCAATAAATTCTGCCAGGCAATTAGCAAAGTAGCTACCACCTACAGGTATGATGTGAGACTAAATGGAGAAATCTTACCTTTATCAGGAGGAGGCATGGCATTGTGTCATCCACTGTGTGTAGAATTCACCCTCAGTCACAGCCATCTTTCCCCAGAGGGCAGTAGGCACAGGAAGAATGGCATCGAGGAGAAAATGCCACTCCCTTGTTGGCCGATCTTAGGTCCTCAGCCATAGTGGAAGAACTCTAGCAGGCTGTGGCTGCATTTTTCCTTAACAACTGAGGTCTGACAGCTATCACATGGAGATAGGCGATAGGTCGGTAAGGCCAGCTCACTTTCAAACCCCTCAAGACCAATTTTCAGATTTTGCTACGAATTGTGTACAGAAAGAAGTTGAATGGGTGGCGGTGAGGAGGTGAACCTGGAGAGTCAAGA